ACCGGGCGGCCCGCCCGCCTCTTGGGGCCCCGGGCAGGCTCCTGAGAGCCGCCAGCCTGGTCCTGCGAAGAGGCGGAGAGCTGGGTGGCAGCAGGTGGCTGGCTCATGCCGTGCCAGGTGCAGGGTCTGCTAGCTGGGTGCTGGCAGGCTTGCACCTGGCACAAGCACTGTAGCCAGACTGTGCCCCTTTAAGGGCTCCGGGGCCGGGAGGGGGGCAGAAGAGTTTCTCTGGTTTGGCCCTGAGTGGCCACCAGGGCAACCTGGGAAGGGCTAGCCTCCCACTAGTTCGAATTAAGAGGCTAGACAGCCCTTAATTCAAACTACTTAATTCGAACTAGGCGTTAGTCCTTGTAGAATGAGGTTTACCTAGTTCGAATTAAGCGCTCCGCTAGTTGGATTTAAATTCGAACTAGCGGTTTGTATGTGTAGCGCCTATGAAAGTTAATTCGAACTAACAGCTGTTAGTTTGAATTAACTTTGTAGTGTAGACAGACCCTTATAGAGGAATACCCTTGTCTTGGGCTGTAAGTAGCCCTCTCCAAGCAATTCACCCTGATTTGACCCTTTTCAGACCAACCTGGTATATTACATACACACGCCGCGCGCCTGCTCCAGCAAGCAGCTCTTTGCACACCACCCCATCCACAGGCTGACTCGGTCCAGTCTTGAATGCTCCGTCAGCTGGGAAGTCAGTCAGAAGTGCTGTGCTCCTTCTCGTCTCCCCTGCGACACCCAGCTCAGATGCCTGCTGGCCTCCCTGCTGGGCTGGCTGCCCTGGCCAGAGCTGCCTGCTGGCCTCCCTGCTGCGGCTGGCTGCCCTGGCCAGAGTCTCCGCTAGTGTAACCAGCACCGCTCCCAAACTCCATCGCCGTGACGCCCATCCAGAGCCAATGCACGCTAGCGCGCTCCCTGGATGCCCTCGATGCCCAGGCTGGAGCCCCGAGCTGCACTGTGTGTCACTGTGGCACGACTCTGCTGGCTTCGCAGTGGGGAGGGGTTAGCCCAAGGCCAGGAGCACTGCTGGTCCGGTTTGCACTGCTGACCCACCCAAGGGCTGGCCTGAGTTGCCATAGTCCACCCTCAGGAGACTCTGGCAAGAGTTTCATCTGAGCCAGCTGAGACCTTTATGGGGCAGGATGTGGGGGCAGGGAATCCCTCCCATTGCATCCCTCCAGACTTCTCTTATTCCTTTTGCTGAATGTTTTGTCCTTGTCTGGGGCCCCGTCGTGAGGCTCTCAAAGCGCCTTGCAGATGATCCCAGGGCAGCAGCAGGA